ATGGTGTGCAAACTTGAAAAATCGTTGTACGGATTGAAACAATCTTCTAGACAATGGTACAAGCGATTTGACGAGTTTATGTTGCGGCAAGGGTACAAGAGAAGCAAATACGATCATTGTGTGTATTTGCACAAGCTTAAAGATGGTTCCTTTGTATATCTTCTCCTATATGTTGATGATATGTTGATAGCTTCTAAGAATTCGGAAGAAATTGATAAGTTGAAGATTCAACTGAAGAAGGAGTTTGAGATGAAGGATCTGGGTGAGGCAAAGAAAATTCTTGGCATGGAGATAATAAGAGATAGACGTTTAAAGAAACTCTGTTTATCTCAGAAAGAATATTTGAAAAGAGTACTACAACGTTCTGGCATAGATGAAAAGACTAAGCCAGTTAGTACTCTACTTGCTCCCCATTTTAAGCTAAGTACTACTATGTCGCCAAATGATGAAGCTGAACAGGAGTATATGTCAAGGGTACCATATACAAATGTTGTTGGTAGCTTGATGTATGCAATGGTCTGTACGAGACCTGACATTTCACAAGCTATTGGAGTTATTAGCAGATATATGCATAATCCAGGGAAGGAGCATTGGCAAGCTGTGAAGTGGATTCTACGGTATATTCACAATATTGTAGATGTTGGGTTAGTTTTTTAGCAGAAAGACAATCAGTCTGTAGTTGGATATTGTGACTCAGATTTTACGGGTGATCTGGACAAACGAAGATCAACTACTAGTTATGTGTTTACTTTTGCAAAGACACCGGTTAGTTGGAAGTCTACTTTACAGTCAACAATTGCTTTGTCTACAACAGAGGCAGAATATATGGCTATTACAGAGGCTGTGAAGGAAGCAATTTGGCTTCAGGGATTGCTAAAGGAGCTTGGTGTTGAACAAAAAAGTATCACAATCTTTTGTGATAGTCAAAGTGCTATTCAATTGGCGAAGAACCAAGTTTATCATGCAAGGACGAAGCATATTGATGTTCGGTATCATTTCGTACGATAAATTATAGAAGAAGGTGGAGTCACAGTGAAGAAAATTCATACTACGGAGAATCCTGCTGATATGCTGACAAAAGTGGTGACTGCGGTCAAGTTTCAACATTGTTTGGATTTGATCAACATTGTTGAACACTGAAGATTGAAGATGAAGACACAACCAAAATTTGTTATTGAGAGAGAATTGAAAATGTGGAATTTTGCCAAGGTGGAGATTTGTTGAATATGACAATATCCCACATAGGTTGGGAAGTAAACTTGGTGGGAATTTTTTCCTATAAAAGGAGGCCTAATGTTTAGGATTTAAACACACCTCTCATTTGCCTTCTTATCTTCTTAAGACATTTGTATCTTCTCTCTTTAGTATTATTTCACTTGTATTTTTGGAGTGGAATAAAATATCTTGTGTCCAAGGGATAGGCAAAATTAGTCGAACCTCGTAAATTCTGTTGTTCCTTTTATTGTTGCTTTATTGTCTTATTTATTATTTGATGACTGTCATAATTTTTTGGTATAGTAGTTGTGACTTATTCACACTATATACATTTGGCTTCCGCAACAATATCAGAAAATTGCAAAATTAATTTCCTTCCAACTATGACGCCATCAGATCAAAGGGCTGATAAATTTGCATCGCTCTTGCCTATAGAGAAAAGGTAACATAATCAAGAAATAGAAGTTAAATAAAAATTCTGATCATAAAATAGAAGGGTTGATCAAAATAAAAAAATTCTGTTAGTTTTGAGGGACAATAAGTTAGTCCGCTCTTGATAAGGGTAATGTGCCCTTATCATTGGTGGACTAGCTCATATTTGCTCAAATAAACCCTTTTATTTTTGGGTAAAAAATTTGAATTATATTTCTAAAATGGGAGGAAGAAAAGAAAGAAAGAAAAAAAAAAGCGCATGTTGAATTTTTTTTCTTCAGAATTGGACATCAAAAGCATATATTGACAAAATTTTGTTTTGCTCAAAGGATAACTAATAAGACTTCTCTCTTTCAGTTTCTATCTTTATGGAGATCAATACTCTCTTGTCTATGCAATGCAATTATATTCATAAATTTAGTTTTAAAAAATGAAATTAATATCTTATGAATTTTATTTTTTCTAGCATCGAGGCAATCGCGATTTCTTAAGCAAGATCACAACTATTGTTAAGTATACATAAGAACTCCCTCTAATTTTTTCATTTACTTTTAATTATCTTTTTTTAATTTAAGAATTTCAATTTGTATTTGTGTTCTTGAAAATTATTTATTTTCCCGTGAAAGATTACTAATTTTCTAGAACTGGTATTCTGTTTAATAGTAGTCAAGTTCATGAGAGTATTTTTTTCTAATAGGGAAAAGACATGAATATGGTGAGCAATTAGATATTTTTGGCTCTCTTAACCACTTTGGATCTATATTCTACTTAAAAGGTATTCCAATAATTTTTTGAGTTAAAATTATTGTCTTGCATAGTGGCACTCGATATTAATAATAAAATATATTATAAATTAAAAAGTTGGAAGTCTGTTAGATTTGAGGGGCAAATATGAACTAGTCTATTCATAATAACGACATATTTAGAACCAAATTCAAATAGAGAATAAATTTATTCTGTTTTTCATAGTTGGGGGGAAAATATGAACCAATCCACTAGTGGTAGGGGAATGTTCGGCCAAACCTAAAATAAGGATAATTTTGCTCTATTTTTCATAGTTGAGGGATATTTTTGGCGCTTTTTCCTTCCTTTTTATTTCTTCTGTAAATGCAATTGATATTTGCAATTATATATTTTTTCTTTTCGGGTTAAATCTATAAATAATTTTTTTTTATTTTGTGCATATATATTATATGTTGAGTCCCCTTATTTTTTCCGTATTTAATTTTTTATATTTTAAAACTCCTTAGTGAAATCCTTACTTTGTTATTGTATTAATAGATGCTCTGCAATGGCTAAAACTAATGCATCATAGCTTGAATATGAGTTGATTACAATACTATCGATATTGAAATCAATATATCGACCACTACTATTCCATCGACCATTAAGTAGAATCATGATTGCCATTGTCACCATGGAAGCAAAAAAAACAAAGCTATTTCATTGTGCGATAGTTGGACAAATAAAAAAAATTACTTAGTGTTTTTGCCTACAAATTTTAGACTTACTTAATTTTTTTGCCTACAAATTTTAGACTTACTTAATTTTAGACTTAATTGATGTGAATAATACCATCTAATTAAATAATAAAATGATATCACTAAACTATAAAAGGTGGAAAAGGTTGTTATCACTTCATCAAGTAGAGCGTTGTCAATACGAAATAATCCTAGCATAACTATGCTTGCTATTAACTACCGTCCACAGCTGACACGTAGCAAAAAGAAGCAAAACTGTCCATGTTTCTCTTTTCAATTAAAAGTAAGATTTTTTATCCAACAAAAAGACAAAGACTTCGTAATGGACTCTTGGTTTTTTACTATTCAGTACCCTAGGCTGAATAATTGAGGCAAGAGAGGAAAGCTACTTGAAAGTGTAGAAAGGGACTGAAAAATAAAAGAGCTTAAAATGATAAATTTCTGTAAGGTATGTGTTAGGTGTGCCTTTTGTTTCATTTACTTTTCCACAACTCATTGTAGTGATTTTTTTTTTGGTTTCTCACATGGTGTCCAATACCCGTATTAGAGCTCGAGTATATCCGAATTTGCGTCATACGCGTTTGCGTAGTCTTAGCCCCCCTAGCCTTCACGTTCGCAATTCTAGTCACGCATTCGCATAGAGTAGCTTCAGAATCCAAGCCCAGCCCATCCAATACTACGAGTTCGCGTGGGTGTGGATGCGTTCGCAAAGGGTAGTCCCTCCATTATTCTGTGTCGTGTCCTGTTCCTCACATTCGCGTAGGGTACTCCACCCCCCACCCCTCCTCCCAGTCCCAACTTACCTTCCGTGATCGTTGTTGGATATATGCGATTGCGTAGAAGCTTTTACCAGGCACCGGCAGAAATGAAAAAAAAAAACAGAAATTTTCCTAAGTTCAAAAGGTCCATAGGCTATCCGAAACCACCCGAGCCCTTGGGGATCCAAACCAATTATGCAAACAAGTTCAAAAACATTATACGAACTCGTTCACACGATCAAAATACAAAAATAACGCGTAGAACTACGAATAAGACACCAAATCAAAGGAAATTTTCAAGAAAACTTCAATTTTAACAACCGAACGTCCGAATCATGTCGAACCAACTCCGTTTCTCAATGGCGGAATAAATGTTTATTAAATGTCCAACAACTTTTCTCTTCTTAATTTGAGCAAAGACACCATCAAAACTTTTCCCTTCTAAGAGGCTGTATCAATTTCCTTACTCTACATTTAAAGACGAATAAAATGCACGCCTTTGAGATGAAACTTCAGGGATAACATCATTCCAATCAACCTCCTCCACAAAAGAAGAACAAATAGAATCAAACACATACCTTTTTGTTTTTCCCTTTTAAGTATTTCTTCTACAAGGGATAGTCAAAAACTTACCTATTGAAAATGTGAAGGTTGTTATTGCACAGGAAGTGACTGGAGACTCAAAATAGGGGAACAGAGGACCGAATAACTTTCTCGACGGAAAAGAGTGATGCACAGCAGTCTAAAATATTAGTACTAATAAACAAGGAAAGAGAAGCCTAAAAATTAATAGGCACCATTATCCGGAGAATCACTAAACTTGATAGTACCAGCAATGATCTTGCTCGCTAGATGAGTTCATTATCGATCCATGCGAGCAATCTCTCTTTTGCTACTGCAAAGGACTCATTTCCAGCCATTGAATACTTAATTAATTGAGAGCGCAAACTTCAGTTAAAAACTGAAAGAACATTCCATGAAGAAATATTGACTTTGTATTGTTGCAGATCATTCTCAAAATAGAGCAGAGAAAGCAATCAATTGAACCTTGTAATATTATCAAATTCCTACAAAATAGAAGAAAATAGAAAAGTTGTTCTTACTTAGCTGTAAATCCATTCCAGAGACAATAATTCTCATAACAAAAAAAAAAAAATTAAAGATTTCTGTCGACTTTTACAAGATGGTCTAGTAACATGAATATAAAAAACTAAACAATTCTAAGCTCTAGGTGATGTACCTTTGCATTGTACTACTGCATTTTTACATATCACTAGGAGTACAACATATCTTTCCATGATTATCAAGCTCCAGATGTACAAGGTTAATATTCATCCTACGCTTACGCTAACAGTAAAGACAGAAATGCAAAACAACAGAAGAATTGGATGGATATCTCCTCTCTTTTTTCTTTTTTCTTTTTTGGAATTTAACTTCTATATACAGCTTTAACATAAAGATATTCGTTTGACGATGAGAAAAACCTAATTCATACCCTTTGAAGAGAGCACAAATACATACTAATTTCTGATTTCGGGCAAAATGTTTCCATTCTGTCAAACATTGCTTTCTGGTTTCTTTTGATATTTGGACGAAAACCTGAAAGTGGTGCAATCAAGTAAAATTTATTAAGCCGAGGAATTTGGTAGAGAAGAAGAAAATTAATAGAGCCATGCCTCAGACTTGCTACCATCAAATCTATATGCTGACAAATCCACAATTAACAAAGAATTACTCCGAGCAATGTATTATCAGTTCAAAGTATAAGCATAACGCACACTCAGCTTTAACACAACTAAGAACCTATGTTAATATGACAAAAATATCAGTTCTGATAGTAGAGCATTGGACGATAAAAATGACTATACTTTGCTGATAAACCATAGTCGAGGTGTTTGCCAATTCAATAGAGAATATCAGCACAACTTTAATTTCACCAACTGAGCTAAGAGCTATAATAGCTTACATAGTTTCAACGATTGATAGGAGCAAACCTATTGTTGTATGTGAAAGTAGACAAAAGAAAGAAAAATCAAAAAGAGATGAAATATGATGTAAGCGCTTACATATCGATGTAAGCGCTTACCTCAGCATTCTTATGATGTAACCGCTTACATCAACATTCTTATGATGTAAGCGCTTACCTCGGCAGGACATTCAAATGCCTATAAATAGGGGTCTACATTTTTATTTGTAGATCATCCCAAAACTTCTTCTTTCTCTCTTCAATTAATAAAGAGTTATGCTTTGTGTGGCCGTGGAGTAGGCAAAAATTGTCGAACCACGTAAATCTTGTCTTGTCTTGTGCAATTTATTGCTTTTCTCTCTTAAATATTATTTTCCTTTTATTAGCTTGACACGCTTCCCAACAACTAGTATCAGAGCACAGATAGTGTAATTCTGGTAGAAAAGTACAGTATTGGTACAGGTACTATTCACAAGAATAGCGCAACACTATTGATCATCGTTACTATTCACAAGCACTATTCACATAAATTATTTTTTGTGAAAAATGGCATCGGAAGAAAGGAAGGTTAAGATTGACAAGTTCAATGACAAAGATTTTGGATTCTGGAAAATGCAAATATAGGACTATTTGTACCAGAAAAAATTACACTTACCTCTGACCGAGGTGAAACCGGAGACTATGTCCAAAGCGGATTGGGATCTATTAGATCGCCAAGCTCTTGGTGTGATTCGTTTGACGCTAACACGAAATGTGGCGTTTAACATCATTAACGAGAAGACCACTGCAGGCCTGATGAAGGCGTTATCAAATATGTATGAGAAGCCATTTGCTTCAAATAAAGTTTATTTGATGCGTCGATTGTTCAACTTAAAAATGACAGAAGGTGGATCAGTCACGGAACATATCAATGAGTTTAATACAATATTAACTTAGTTGAGTTCTGTTAATATAACAATTGATTACGAAATCAGGGCGTTGATTCTACTATCATCTCTATCGGAGAGTTGGTCTGCAACAGTAACTGCAGTTAGCAGTTTATCAGGAAGTACCAAACTCAAATTGAATGATATTAGAGACTTGGTTCTAAGCGAAGATATTCGCCGAAGAGAATCAAGTGATTCCCCAGGATCTGCTTTTAGTACCGAAAGTAGGGGGAGAATCAACCAAAGAGGACAGAGTTATGGTCGTGGCAAATCAAAGTCAAGGAGAAGTTCGCAAGGACATTACTTGTTGGAATTGCAATAAAAAGGGTCACTACAGTAGCCAGTGTAGAGAACCAAAGAAGAAGAAGGAAGAAAATTCAGCAAATGTAATTGCTGAACAAGTCTGATGCACTAATTTATTGTGCAGATAGTCCAGTCGAATCTTGGATTCTGGACTCAGGTGCATCCTTTCACTCTACATCATGCAAAGAATTATTGCATAATTATATTGCTGGAAAATTTGGGAAAGTTTATCTAGTAGACGGTGAACCTCTCGACATTGCCGAAAAAGGTGAAGTTCATATAAAGACTTCACAAGGAACGCTATGGAAATTGCAAAATGTACGACATGTTCCTGGCCTCAAGAAAAATCTTATATTTATGGGTCAGATTGACGATGAAGGATATACAACATTCAGCAACGGATCGTGGAAGATAACCAAAGGGAATTTGGTTGTGGCACGAGGCTTCAAAAGGGGAATACTGTATGCAACTGCAATAGAAAGAGATACTATAGCAACAGTTGATCATGGTCGTAATACAACATTGTGGCACCGGAGGTTCGGGCATATGAGTGAGAAGGGAATGAAGCTTTTGGCATCCAAAGAAAAGTTGCCAAACCTAAAACATGTTGAATTAGGTTTGTGCGAAGATTGCATTTACGGGAAACAAAAGAGAGTTAGTTTCTCAAAGGTGGGAACGACGCCAAAGAAAGAGAAGCTGGAACTAGTGCATACATATGTGTGGGTTTATTTTCTGAAAAATAAATCTGATGTATTTGTTACCTTTAAAAGATGGAAAGCTGAAGTTGAAAATCAGACAAGTCTAAAGTTAAAATGTCTAAAATCTGACAATGGAGGAGAGTATGACAGCTAACAGTTCAAAGCATTTTGCTAGGAGAATGGGATTAGAATGATCAAGACAGTTCCTGGAACACCGGAACAAAATGGTGTTGCTGAGAGGATGAACAGAACCCTGAATGAACGAGCTAGAAGTATGATAATACATTCTGGATTGCCGAAGTATTTTTGGGCTGAGGCTGTTAACACGACAACTTACCTCATAAATAGGGGACCCTCTGTACCGCTGAATTTTGAAATTCCCGAAGAGGTATGGACAGGAAAGAAGGTAACTCTCTCACATCTGAAATTTTTTGGTTGTGTTGCTTATGTGCATGTAAACTCTAATTATAGAGATAAGCTTGATCCTAAAGCAAAGAAATGTTTCTTTATTGGCTATGGTGATGATAATTTTGGTTATCGATTTTGGGATGATCAGAATAGAAAGATCCTAAGACACACGAATGTCACATTTAATGAAAATCTGATATACAAGGACAAGCTTGAAGTAGAACCAACCAACACCAGCAAACAGACAATGTCTGAAACAGTTGAGTTAGAAGAAATCTCAGAAAATGAAGTGGCTAGAGGGATTACAACTGATTCTGAAATTGAATATGAAGAACCAGAAGCCGAATTTGAAGAAGAACTAGAAGCCGAACCTGAAGCAGAACCGGAACCAGTGATAGAATCAAATGCAGAACCAAATCTGGAATCAGGACCTGAATCAAATTCAGATTTTGTTACTCATGAACCTACATTGAGGAGATCTAAAAGAGTCATGAATGCTCCAGATAGGTTAACTCTCTCTCTTCACTATTTACTTCTTACTGATGCTGGAGAACCAGAGCATTTTGTTGAAGCAATGCAGGTGATAGACTCTGATAAGTGGAAGCTAGCCATGAAAGAAGAGATGAATTCTCTTCAAAAGAATAAAACATGGATACTTACGGAGTTACCAAAAGGAAAGAAGGCATTGCAGAACAAGTGAGTGTACAGAGTCAAGGAAGAGCATGATGGTAAGAAGAGATACAAAGCACAATTAGTAGTAAAAGGCTTTCAGCAGAAGGAAGGAATTGACTACACCTAGATCTTCTCTCCTGTAGTCAAATTAACTACTATCAGGTTGGTGCTAAGTATCGTAGTTGCAGAAAATTTGCATTTGGAGCAGCTAGATGTTAAAACTGCTTTCTTGCATGGTGACCTTGAAGAAGACATCTACATGAAGCAACCTGAAGGTTTTTTGGTAAAGAAAACCTTGTGTGTAAGTTGAAGAAGAGTTTGTATGGTTTGAAACAAGCTCCCCGACAATGGTATGGATTCATGCATAAAAATGGTTTCACACGATGTGAGGTGGACCATTGCTGTTATATCAAAAATCTTGATGAATCCTATATCATTTTACTGTTGTACGTTGATGATATGCTAATTGAAGGATCTAGCATAAATGAGATCAATTTGGTTAAGCAACAACTGACAGAGGAGTTTGAAATGAAAGACTTAGGACCAGCTAAGCAAATGTTTGGGATAAGGATTAGTAGAAACAGGTCGGAAGGAACCTTAAATTGTCTCGAGAAAAGTACATACAAAAGGTACTAAGCAGGTTCAATCTTCATGATGCAAAGACCAGAAGCACTCCACTCGGAAGCCATCTAAATCTGTCAAAGAACCAATCACCTAAGACAGATGAAGAAAGGAAGTACATGTCCAAAGTTCCGTATACTTCAGCAGTAGGAAGTTTGATGTATGCTATGGTTTGCACTAGACCTGACATAGCCCATGCTGTTGGAGTTGTCAGTAGATACATGTCAGATCCAGGAAAGGAGCATTGGGAAGGTGTAAAATGGATATTGCGATATCTCAAAGGCACCTCAGGTATGGCACTTTGTTTTAAAAAGAGCAATATTATCTTCCAAGGTTTTGCTGATGCAAATTTAGGCAGCGATCTGGATAGTCGAAAAAGTACCACGGGCTACGTGCTCACCTTGGTTGGTACTACTGTTAGTTGGATGTCTAGACTTCAGAAAAGTGTTGCTCTATCTACCACTGAAGCAGAGTACATGGCAATCTCAAAAGCTGGAAAAGAGATGATTTGGCTCAAGAATTTTCTTAAAGAACTAGGTAAAGAGCAGGACAATTGTGAGCTTTTCACCGATAGCCAGAGTGCAATTCATCTTGCCAAGAATCCAGTGTTTCATGCAAGATCGAAGCATATCCAGTTGAGGTACCATCATATCCGAGAGTTGATAAACGAAAGAACTCTTTCCCTGCAGAAGATACCGGGATCAAAGAACCCGTCAGACATGTTAACCAAAGTTGTCGGTATTGACAAACTGAGGTTGTGCACTGCCTCAGTTAGCCTTCAAGACTGATAGCGTGAAGGTGCCACCAGAGAATAGCAAATCTTTTTTTTCTTTCTTGATGTAACATAGGTTTGAGGGGGAGATTGATAGGAGCAAACCTATTGTTGTATGTGAAAGTAGACAAAAGAAAGAAAAATCAAAAAGAGATGAAATATGATGTAAGCGCTTACATCGATATTCTTGTGATGTAAGCGTTTACCTCAGCATTCTTATGATGTAAGCGCTTACCTCGGCAGGGCATTCAAATGCCTATAAATAGGGGTCTACATTTTTATTTGTAGATCATCCCAAAACTTCTTCTTTCTCTCTTCAGTTAATAAAGAGTTATTCTTTGTGTGGCCGTGGAGTACGCAAAAATTGCCGAACCACGTAAATCTTGTCTTATCTTTTCTTGTGCAATTTATTGCTTTTCTCTCTTAAATATTCTTTTCCTTCTATTAGCTTGACACGCTTCCCAACATCAACGACATCAAGATACGTTTGTTCTGTTTCCTCACCTTAAATTAATCTCTGATGCAAATTTATGCTGATTTTCAAGTTCCAAGCTGCCACATGAGGTTGACTCAAAAAAAAGAGAGGAAAATAACACAACGAGATAAAATAAAATTGGAAGGTGACAATTTAATATCCATTCAACTATGCTCTAGAATTTCGGAAAACTAGAACATTCATCATATTACCTATCAAATGCAGGGTGGTTACAAACTCAATGATCAAAATGAACAAAGCACTACAACAAAACCAATATAATCCCACAAGTGTGGTCCCGAGAGGGTAGTGTACGCAGATGTTACCCCTACCTGGTAAAGGTAGAGAAGCTGTTTCCGATAGACACTCGGCTCAAAAAAGGAAGCAATAGCAACAAACAATAACAATAATTGGAAAAGAAGTAACTGAAATAATAGGACACTTAAAGGAATTTTGATTTCATTTATCACTTGTATTAGACATGATTTCATATGATTTGATTAATTACATGCATGCAATTGCTTTACCTACCTAGAAACAAAACAAAGCAGTGAAAGGGGAATTGGCACCGTCACATCAACGAGTTAGCATGAGTTGAAGCAAGACTTGAATATCCAGCTACATACTACACAGAAAACTAAAAGAAAAAAACCACACTTCATTAATGCTCTACTCAAGGGAAAATAACAAATAATTTAATTCACATAACTAAACGTTTAGAATGTATGGCCTGAGAATAAGAAATATATAAGGGAAGAGCAGATACATATATTTTGCTTTACAAGCATGATGTAGTCTTCTTAAAATTAAGAAATAGGAAAAAAAGTACCTGTGAAATAGAGATGGCATGTTTCTGACCATTCATGCTCTTCCTTTGTGATCCCATGAATTGACTGAAGTTTAAGAACAACGAATAGAAGATTGAACAATTGAAAAAATGAAAATGTATCAACGGCCAAATCGAGCTAGTAGAAAAGCAAAGAAGGAAATCCTCAAAATAAAGTACCAAGTTATTCTGCATCATATTTTGAACAGCTAATATGCATCAACTGAAACAAAATAACTAATAAGAGATGGCTCTTTCTTGGTTATGCTGTCAAGTCTAACGAGTAAATTGAAAACTACTACCAGTACAAAATAAAGATTCTGGTAACTGAAACATGATCGAATCGCTGTTTGTTATCTAACCTTGAAATGAGTAGTAGCATATGTTTCCTTGCCTTTCCAACAGTACTTGACCTTTTGCTTCTTCAAAGGACTGGAATCGAAGAATCCTCATTATTGATGTATATCCAGCGACTGGGGAAACTAATAAACATTATGTGACTGGAAAACACAGCTAGTAAACAAACAAGGAGAAGTAATAGAAAGGATATTAAAGGCGAGTTAACTGACAAAATAGTTTATATATGTTAATAAGAGGATAGAACTTTAGGTGGCATACCAGATGAGCTGACCATCAATCCAAATGCTGAGCCATTCTTGCCTTTGCGCAGACATATAGATGCATACTGAAGTGATGGAGAAGGGCAACTCTCCTTGTGTCCTAAGGCAGATGATGGTACAGAGATGGCCACCACTTTACAGCGATCCAACATACCTGGGCATGGGTGAGGATATGCACCAGATTTGGCCAATTCACCAAGTGTGCTTTGACTACAACAGTTACAAAAAAATTACAGGTTGGCCAGGTTTTGGTTTCTACTTTTGGTTTTATAATGCATAAACAAACAAAGTATTGAACACTTTTCTATTGGATGAGCTATCAGTGGCGGATGTAGAGTATACCTCCTGGGTTCCCGGGAACCCAATAACTTTTGCGTAGACTCTGTATTTTTTAGTTAAAAAATCCATTAAATATTAATAAATATATAACTGTGAACCCAGTTATTATTGTATATCAATTTGTTATTAGAATAGGGACCCATAAACTTCAAATCCTGGATCCGCCTCTGTGAGCTATCCTCAAGGAAATAAATGCTATGTAGATATTAAAAATTTATATTTGTTTTGTTCGATATATTTTCAATGTAATTATTGAAGTATGCAAACACGCGTTCACCATGTGTCCGTGACGTTGAGATGGGCATTTTCACATAATTAAGACTGAATCTTGACAACTCTCTGCCCAGCTTTTCCTTCCCATGTTAAGCAACAACATCTGATCAGATAATCTTCATACGGATGCCAAAATTCTTGACTAAAAGTTATTCAGATGATAATACGCTAGTGAAAAAAATATTAAGCTAAATGTCAGCATGCCTAAGATTCTCATTTTTTTCTTTTTCTTTTACATTAATTACTTCTAGCTAGAGGTATTAAATTACGAGGAGAGAGCTTATATTCGTTTAACTTGGTGTGAATAAGAGATAGTATATGTGTTTTTCATGTCCAAAACTAAAATTGAAGATGGAAAAGCAAAGCAGAAAAAAGAAGTAGAAGAAGTATAGGAGATAACCATTCATGTTGTACAGGAAGTGACTGGAGAATTGAAGATCAGAAACAAGGAAACAGAGGGACGAATAACTTTCACGACATAAATAAATGATGCACAGCAGTCTATAGGATTTTTAAAAAATAATAATGAAAAAGCAAAAGAAGTTTTAAAAAATAAATAACAATATTTATTTGCAGATCACTTACCTTGATAATACCACCAATGATCTTGCATGCTACATATATTGAAGTGCATTATCAACCCATACAATGGGAATTTGAGCAATTATTGGCCACTCTTCCAGTTTCATAATTTTGAAGTGTGGTTTGAGCAGTGAACAACCAACATAGAATTTTCAAGAGATTGATGGAGTTGTTGCATAGGTTCTGGCGGATGAAAGAGAAGGAGTTTTGCCAAATTCAATAAGGAATTTCGACACATCTTTCTTGTCACCAACTGGAAATCAGCTAGAATAGCTAATTGTCCCCAAAATCCTGACAAAGAAAGAAAAACGATCGTTAAGTTGAGATCAGATATGTTGAAGTTTGGCAAAATGCCAAAGTCCCACATTGGTTGGGAGTTAAGTTTGGAAGGGA